CAATTTTCTCCTATATGGTATCAATGTATGTATATCTGGTATCATCAGAATGTAAGTCTGCCGGGTTTCTGGTGGTGGGTGTGCGAGTCCACGCCCTAAATGCCATGACCCCCAACTAGGCTAGATTAGCTCAAAAGTGTACCAAATGAAAATCGTACAGCAGTGTACCGTACATCGTCAGGTATTACAAAAACACTCTGACAGACATTTCTAGTGGTGGGGTACCCCTGACAGAGCTATGTAATTGACAGACATTTGTAGTGGTGGATTATCCCTCACAAGAGTTATCTAATATTTAGACCAAAGCTAGGCTAGATTAGCTCAAATCTGTACCACCTAAAACAGCTTTAGAGTTGTTCAGTACTACCACAGGAGTCATGAATGACCACTGCCGAACAGTTTGTGCGGTGGGTTACCCCTAACAGACACGCCCCAAAATGGCACGCCCCCAACTAGGCTAACTTCCCAAGCACTGTTCCCGTGTTTTAAAAAATTAAATTTTTAGCCAGAATGCGTAGAATACTAATACCGAGCACGTATGGAAGATGCGATAAACTGCGGTTGCAAGAAATTGATTTTTGGGAAAAAAACGTTTTGTGGGGCTAAAAATGCGTTTTTGAAAAAAAAATAATGTTCCTGCAACCGCAGTGTATCGCCTCTTCAATACGTGCTAAGTATTAGTAATCTACGCATCCTGGGACAATTTTTTAATTTTTGGACCACGGGAACAGTGCCGGCTTATCTATCCTAGTTGGAGGGCGTGGCATTTTGGGCGTGTCTATTAGGGGTAACCCACCGCACAAACTGTTCGGCAGTGGTCATTCATGATTCCTCTCGTGGTACTGAACAACTCCAAAGCTGTTTTAGGTGGTACAGATTTGAGCTAATCTAGCCTAGCTTTGGTCTAAATATTAGATAACTCTTGTCAGGGATACTCCATCAATACAAATGTCTGGCAATTACATAGCTCTGTCAGGGGTACCCCACCACTAGAAATGTCTGTCGGAGTGTTTTTGTAATACCTGAAGATGTAAGGTACATTGCTTTGCGATTTTCATGTGGTACACTTTTGAGCTAATCTAGACTAGTTGGGGGGGTCATGGCATTTAGGGCGTGGAATACCACACCCACCACCAGAAACCCGGCAGACTTACATTCTGATGATACCAGATATACATACATTGATACCATATAGGAGAAAATTGGTACACTTTTCAGCTAGGTTAACCCCCTGGGCCCCCGCTCTATATGTTTAGTATGAACTACAATGATCTATGTGTACACATTTTGATAACGATATCTCGAATGATGGGTTATGGGATATGCTCCAGAATGAAAATTGTATACCAAAAACTGAGTTAAATTTGTTTCCATGGAAACACAAAAAATTCAAATCTGTGAAATTTCTAATTAGCAATTGACACATCTACTATAGGTCGTTAAAGTGTGTACAGAGTTTCAAAAATATATATTACAACTTATTATGAGATATGTTCCGGAAACGGAAGAGCGGACTGAGCCCTTTAATATCCACCATCCCCCGCCCATAACCTCGTCAGGCGAGGGATAACCAAGCCAGCAAACTGCAAACCAAACGTACAGTACGGTCAATACAATGTCAACATTAAGACCAAGTGTCAAAGTAAATCCAAAGCTTTAAGCTGCCACAACTGGGACACCTCGTTCACATATAAGGCAGGTGGTATCAGGTGTTCAGGTAATCAGCTTGAATTATTTCGAGGAGGATTACAGTCGTCCTATATAGGCGAGGATAAATTTGTTGCTCGCAAAGAGTAACTATTGTAGCAATAAAGATCGGGTGACAAAAAATAAGCATCTTCGGCCAATTAAATCGTCCGTTGTATGCAGGTGAAACAATTTCAAGGTTGTGACCTTTGATCCCCTAGACCCATGGAATCATTCACCATTACGTCATAATTTAGAGGAGGAAATGGTCCTGTTATAAAGTATAATAATCCCAGAAAATGGACGGGAACATATTTGTTGTCTGAACAAATTTAATATGGGGAGAAATTTAAAGTAGTCAAATGATTGTTTAATATTAGCAGAAAAAAAGCTTACCTTGAAAATACTACTATCTCTCTGATTTATGTCTGTGGGGGCGGGGTAGCTGAATGGTTAGCACGTGCGCGCGGTATCATACGATACGATCTGTCATTGAGGCAACTGGCGTGGTTTCGAATTCCCGGTTGTACGTCACAAGGTGTAGGGTCGCCTGTCCAACCACATAGGTTTTCTCCGGTTCCTCCCACTGCTAATGACCCCTACGAACAAGCAAATTATTGAAATAAAATGTAAACATGTGTTAGTCCCGAAATACCTAGTTTCTGTCGAGTGGACGTTAAGAAGTTACCCCCCCCCCTCTCTCTCTCTCTCTCTCTCTCTCTCTCCCTCTCTCTGATTTCTGTTAACAGGATGTAGACTCCCCCAGGTTTTTATCACCTCGCAAATACTGCTGTCCCTCTGATTATTGGCTAACAGGATGTAGACACCCCAAGGTGTATACATTGCATGTTGCCTCGATTAACCTTTAACAGTATTTTACTTATAAACATTACCTGTTACCTTGATTAACCATTAGCAGTATTTTACTTATCTGATTAATAAAATAACAGGTAGGTGGAATGAAGGAAGTAGTGGTATTGAATCGTCTCCATCCATCAATACTCTGTAATTGAACAATGCAGATAGTCGAATCTTACATGTCAAATAGAATATCAGTGAGAGAGAGAGAGGGAGAGGGTGGGGGGGGCAAGCTTTGCAATTTTTATTTGGATTCTTTCTTACTGGTGATCATTGCATTATTTTACATCTACGACGTATAAACACATCTAAGAACTCTACCAGCCCCGACAAAAGACGATTTTACATCTAAATGAGGAAACTGATTTGTAGATTTTGATGGTGGTTTTAGTTATGAATTGTCTTTAGAAATAGTGTTACAGTATAATTGAACTGAAACATAATGAATACATACAACAACTGATGTAGGTAAAGGGGACAGATTCGAAAACCATAACAACTTTTATAAGTTCTATCGTTTGTTTCCAGCTAAAATAATTTCACAAGGGTGTACTGGTTTATTACTCTTTCGGGTATACTTGTTCAGTTTTTTATGTAATAATATTGAAGAACCCTGTCGAAAAAGAAAGTCGCGGATTGAATGGTTTGGAAGTTATTGCCGCGGACACCAAAGCCTAGAATACCGGTACAATTCACAAGTTTCGACGCGTTTTTGTATTTTGGGTGGGATTTTTTGGCCAGTCGTAGTAAGGAAGCTTTTCGAATATCAGAATTATGTTAGATTTTCCCCTGTTGTCGATTTTTGAATTAGTCATACGAGAAATTGTATCAGCAATAAAAGAACATTTAGATCAATTTCTGTCCCCGTCATCTAATCCTTGTCACTTACGGGGGAGGCACGGTGGCTAAGTCAGTAAGACGCTTGCTCGATAACCTAGGAGGTAGCGGGTTCGATCCCGGTGCTGGCCGAAAAAATCATCGGGATTTTCCGACGTGGTTTACCCTTGTCAGTGATGCAGGACGGAAGGCCGGACAAGGACAGATGTCTAGTTGTTCGAATGGCACGAAAAACCAAGGTTTCATGTACACATTGGTGTGCACGTAAAATATCCCTTGGCAGTTGTTACTCGATATAGGAGTAGGCCGTGGCGCCGCTGTCCGGGCAAAAGTTCCCTCATTAGCCCAGTCGGAGTAGAACGTTAAACCCCATTTCATTTTATTTTCTTTTTGACACTACGGGTCAGTAGCTTTGGTTATTTATATTAAAATAAAGACAACTAATGGAATATCCGAGCCATCGATCAGTTCTAGGAGAATTGTCAGTGTCACCGAAACCTTGTAAACACTCTTAACAATCAGTCTATAGCTTTATGACTCCTTTGAAATATGGAAGACCAAATGGGACAATATTCATGATTCTTGTTTCTACATTCCAGTTTGAACATTTTAGACACGAACGCAACATTCTAAACTAATGATTCTTGTTTCTACATTCTCATGTCAACATTTCATGCACATAATCAACATTTTAAACAAAAAATTGACTTTATGTTTCATTTTCGGCGTTTTATCGGTAACTTTTATATATCATTAAATATTAGATTTCTAATCTATAGTCTGTATCAAAGTTGTACACATACGCTAACGCCCTCTGGTGTAATAATGTTGATAAATTCATGATATTTTTCTGGACATTTTCAAGACTTTTTGAAACGTAGAAAATATTTTCATAAGAGTTCAAATTCCAGAATTTTTTTTGCTACTTTCAGAAACCAATGAATTGATTTCTTTGTCGTGTAAAATTAAGAAATTATTTTTTAATTTTAATATTTAATGATATATAAAAGTTACCGATAAAACGCCGAAAATGAAACATAAAGTCAATTTTTTGTTTAAAATGTTGATTTTGTGCATGAAATGTTGACATCAGAATGTAGAAACAAGAATCATTAGTTTAGAATGTTGCGTTCGTGTCTAAAATGTTCAAACTGGAATGTAGAAACAAGAATCATGAATATTGTCCCATTTGGTCTTCCATATTGAAATACATAATAACATTCTGTTACTTTCTGTATGGGGCCATTCAGTCCCTGGCAACGGTATTGTTAATTTTACTTTCGTTTGTATACAGCACATAAACAATTGACATTTTAAATTAAAGAAGACTGTGGGCTCACAATCCTGATATTATAAAGGGAAATAAAACGTCTGATAATCATTATTTACGGTTTTCACAGATCACCCTCAAGATTCACCTAATGTATTGTAACCAAATATCGCAAAACATTCAGGTCCGGGGATGTCAAATTAGAACTTTTGTCGTTATTTGATTCTTGATAAATACATTTTTACTGGCTTATCAACAACATTAAAGGTCATATTCACCAAAATTCAAACACAATCGATTCCGTTAACCAGGGGTCAAAATACAACATCAACAGCGAAAATATAACAGACAGCTTTTATTTAATTCTAAATATTATGACAAAAACCCAACAATATTTACAGTATATCAATTAAACCTGATCACATTATAACTCACTATATGATGCATCTACGATAAATCAAGGCCTTGCGTGAGCCTGAACCATGGATGCAAGGAGCTCGGATTTTCGATCCCTGCATTGGCCGAGAAAGTTCATCCAGATTTTCCGGTATGGTTCCCCCTTGTCAGTGATGCAGGACGGTGGGCCTAACAAGGACAGCTGTCTAGTCGTTCGGATGGGACGACAAACTGATGTCCCGTGTACACATTGGCGTGCACGTAAAAGATCCCTTGACAGTTGGAATTCAATATAAGAGTAGGCCATAGTGCCGTTGTCCGGGCAAAATTTCCCTCATATCACACTGTATGGCGTATGCCCGTCGGAGCAGAACAGTAGGACGTTAAACCCCATTCATTTCATTATATTACATTACATTCACAAGTGGTCGCCTGTCCAACCTCGTGGGTTTTCTCTGGGTACTCCGGTTTCCTCCACTACTAAAGACCCCTACGCGAAAGCGAATTAATGAAATAAGATTAAACCATATGTTAGTCCCGAAATGACCTAGTTTGTGTCGAGTGGACGTTAAACCCCATTTCTCTCTTTCTCTTACATTCACAAGTAATATATTGACATAAGAACGACTGACTTAAAGTTATAGCTACGTTAATGTGATGAACATTAGTTTTGTGCGATTCATTTCAGCTGATATAAGTTACGCGTCCGCTTTCATCTGAGGTGATTTCGCAGACAAGTATTTCCCAGGAGACCTCCCAGAAAAGCCATTCGTGAATGAGAGTGTAGCATAACGGGAAAATAGAGCAGCGAGTAGGAAATATAACCGCCTCCATTTTCTTGGTTAATGGCGCCATCGTGCCTTGTGAGATACAATGGTGATGGACCATTCCATTCCGAAGTTGCACCCAAGTCGCGGGGGGTTATATAATCGCATTCTCCATCAGCGATGTCTGTCGCTAGTATTTCAAAATAATGCTGGATGAGAGAAAAAGAGAGAGAGAAATGGGGTTTAACCTCCACTCGACACAGACTAAGTCATTTCGGGACTAACATATGGTTTAATTTTATTTCAATAATTCGCGTGCGCGTAGGGGTCTTTAGCAGTGGGAGGAAACCGGAGGATCCGGAGAAAATCCACGAGGTTGGACAGGCGACCCTACTCCTTGTCACGTACAACCTGGGAATCGAAACCATACCAGTTGACTCAATGACAGACCTTATGATACAACGCGCACATGACACAACGCGTACGCGCTAACAATTCGGTCACCCCCACCCCCCAATAATTAGAATATTAAAAATAAATCAAAAGTTCAAAGTAGTTTTAATGAATCAATTAATTTGACACTTAATGTATCCCCAGGGATGGGAACGGAATGGGATTAATGTGCATTGAAGTAGTTGATTTCACCTCTAATACGGGCGATTCACATAGCTAACAAACTTTTATTGAAGCGGTGCCTCGGTTGCAGACCACGTAACTTAAACTGTTGATATAAGTATTTAACGCGGGGTGAACTATTATAGGCGATATTATAATCATATGTTGGATTTCTCACAAATAAACGGTAACTGTGTATTACAGTCGACCTGTTGAAAATCTCCACCACGATTTAAGACATCACATTTTCCGTCTGGGGCTGTACTGGTTGCATTGGTAGGCGCTACATAAAAATTGTCTGGACCACTCATCAATTCTGAAAATAAAAGAAACCATGCAATAAGTTAAAATATACATATATATCATCATTGTAAAAACACAAAATAGTTTTATTTATGTCCGAATAAATCAGCAAGAATTAAAAGGAGCCAAATCTCTAATATTTGGGACCTAGAGATTGACACAAATCAGTCACAACGCATATAATAATGTAATATGAATGTATATAAATTGATTTACATTCAATCGTTTCTGTTTTTACTCTAATTTCAAATCAGTTATGTTCAGCGAAATACGCCAAAGTCTCAATCAAATGGAATTCTCTAGCGTCTGGTTATTCCAGTCTACACCGAAAGTATTTATTGCACATGCTCTCCAGATGTTTGACTTGACTTGTGGAATATGGCCACTCTCGTTCTTCGAGTCCCTTGTTACAAATAGCGCCGAAACGCATTATGATACACGATTCGTGTACCAATTGTAAAATGTTTATTTGGTTTTAAATATTGGATACCAGAAGCCCATCTTTTCCATTTCAGATCACATCATTGTTGATTTAAATTGACAAATTAATGTCGAAGACTTTGGATGATATTAAGTTAGAGACTTAGTTACTTTAAGGTGTGTTGTGGCTCCAATATAATAGTACTGAGATCATTCGGCATGAAGTACGGAAGGTGACATTATGGCCATTATGGTTATTACAATCATTTACCGTATAAGAACTAATAATAACTATACACGAAAACACATACTTATGGAAAAACAGCTACTTATTGATTTGGGCGACCCAACACATACAATCCAACCCACGACACAGACTAAAAACGTATAAAACTCTTGCAGTCAACCTCCCGATAGAAAAAAAAACCACGCAAACTTATTGAGGCCATACACATTAAAAAAAAACCCCGAAAAACAAAACAGCCCAGACCTTAATCGCGACACAGGGCTATTCCTGCCTAGTACTTATGATGGACTTCTTAAATAACCTAAATATTGTGTTTTTCGCCACCTCTACTTATTCTTCAGTACTGTGGAAAAGACAATCTTTTTCATTTTTCTAATATTATTATCAATATTATCTTTTATATCTACTCTATTTTTTAGTTGCTTCAAGTTAACTACCATTATCTAAACAAATCATGGTATATCATAATTGTATAGTAGGTACTATTCCATTCTGTCGGTAGTATTGTATCTTTCATCATAGCTACTTAATTGCTTAAAGCGAGAATTTCATATTTTCTAAGAAAGTCAAAACATAATTATTTCTATGTCTTTTGCTCAATAGGTTGTCAACTCACTATTATACGATCATAGGTATCATTCACACACTTAGAAATCATTCACCCCGGAAATAAAACCACAATTACCTCCCTTGCTTTTCTACCCCCCCCCCCCATGGAATAGCTATCTTCAAACGTATGAATTTGAAGTTGAAAATGATATTTTTGCCAATTTCTCAACTGGCAATAGTGAATTATAGGATTAATAGGATTATTCTTTAACAAGGTAGGATTGTTTATAGATACCATCTATTTTAAGGCTTTATTTTAATACATTTTAAAAATATTACTTAAAAATATGAAATTATCACTTTAACTTTACTCAATGGCTACACTTAAGCTTCGTGTTAATTAGTTTGTGTAGAATAACCCCCTTTGATCTTGTTGTCCTGTATGGTTTCATGAATTGTTGTTGTAGTCTTTCTGTATATATTGATCTCATAATTCTTGTATTACATGTACTGTATTAGCTTGATAACGTTGAGAGAATACTCTTCAAAACGTTGCCCAAATATATTAAGTTCCATAAGTATGTGTTTTTCTTTATTGCTCTATCCAGTTAATAAATGCCTCTCAAAGATTAATAATAACGAGATTTCGTATCGGATATTCTCAGAAGATGTGTTCTCGAGTCTGTTCTCCCAACCTCTAGCCATTCCATCAAACGATCCCAACGTCACTATCAGCAGACAAGCCAACAGCCAACAGTGATACCCCTGCATGTATTTTACGAGATACTTTCCATACGTACCAATCTGGTTAAAATACAGATCCTATTTCGTTTCGTTTTTTCATAGTTCAAAATTTCGTTTTACTTGTCTTTACTACACTAGGATCCGGAAGAGTTGTTCTATAACAGGCGTTTTAGTTTGATGTGATGATACCAACACTAGATAATCTCTTGGCTAGGATTCACTCAATCTGATTAAAATACAGATCCTATTTCGTTTCGTTTTTTATAGTTTAAATTTTTTTTGATAGGACAGCACTAGAATCTGGAAGAGTTTTGGTTGAAGTGGGGGATAAGCCAATGAAACGGTCTGTTATATAAATGTCTGACGTCATAGGTCAAAAGCCGCGCGTGCGACCCCTGACACGCGCTTCGAGTACAACTTGTCAGATCTTCATGTAGTGTAGGCCATCGAAAGTATAAAAAAAAACGAAACGAAATATAGATCTGTGTTTTAATCAGATTGCGTGCGTACCAAACATGCCATACATAACTAATCTATAATATTTTAGTGGGTCTTCATCTTTAAAGGACTACCAGGCCATTATTTAAATTTTCCTATAAGTATTCAAAATGACTATAGACTTGGTTTGGGACCACAAATAAAATTTGATAATATTGAATTAGAGATTTAGCTACTTTGAAATCAATGAAAAATGCTTCAAAAATAAACTTACTTGAATTTGTATTGAGTAAATTTAAAACAGTCGCCATCTTGTCATTAGTATCTATGGTAACAAAGATGCCACCCTCCACAGTGCATACGTCAAGGGCTTGGTCACGTGTTTTATGGCTTTCATAATGGAATCTCAAAGCCAGATCAAGATCATCGTGCCATCTGTAGCCTTGTGGCAATAATACATTTTTGGAAACCACAACTAAAAAAAGAAAATATTAAACATACACTATGCAAGAGCCAAATCTGCCTATTTGCAGATCTTCGTTAGGCCTGAAATGTTATCTAAATTATTAATTAGACATTAATTAACATATCCAAACCATAATCAACTCTCGATGTCATGTTATATGTGGGATTTCCACTGGATTTGAATCCGATTTGCTGCTCAACGCTCATTGATGATTAAATCCAAAAACGGATAATCGACACTATTTTTTTTTATCGTACCGACTTTCGTAATGATGATCGAGGCTAGGCTTAAAATTCAACACCTAATATCTCGGTTCAGAGAGGAGCAATTTGACTGTAAATGTCAACATATTATATTTACGTTATCTATGTTTTATTTATTATAGCAAGAATAGTCAACAACTCTTTATCTGATCTCCCATAATGAATTTAAAAGCAGTTTTTATTATGTACCATTTACCCGCAATTAGTCTAATTTCTATCTGTCATGGGATAAAAGTCAAAAAGTTGAACTGGCCATGCAGTGTGCTATGAGGGAAATTTTGTCCGAACAGCGGCACTACGGCCTACTGTTATATCGAATTCCAACTGTCAAGGGATGTGTACACGGGACCTCGGTTTTTCTTCCCACCCGAACGACTAGACAGTTGTCCTAGTCAGGCCCTCCGCCCTGCACCACTGTCAAGGGGAACCCACGTAGGAAAATCCCGATGAACTGTCTCGGCCAATGCAGGGATCGAACACACGACCTCCAGGCTATCGAGTCAACGTCTTACCCACCGAGCCACCGTGGCTCCAGAGGCAAAAGAAACAAAAATATAATCACAAAAGGATAAAGAAAGCGCATTCAAATAGAACGGTCCACACGAAAAATAAAAAAAATAAATTTGTTAATTTAGACTTGAGATTTGATCATTGTACGTATACTTACGCTCTTTGACAGTAAAGTGGTAAAAATGTGACATTGGGCTACTAATTGCTATAATGTCATCGGTGGCTTTCTCCCCCATCAACATGCAGAACGATAACAATTTACTGTAGGAGAAGGCAGCACAAGTGACGTCCTTCAAGCACAACATGTAACACTGGACTTCCCGAGTTATTCCCAATGTTGGGTTGACGGGAGGCATTAGACCTTCCATAGGAGCATATCGCACAGCATCGTAGTTCCTCACCCGTGATTCACTTAAAATATTTTGTATACAGAACACAAATATTAGAGTCACACATGTTGGATGCACGAAATGCATTGTTGTGATATTCCAGTTTTTTGTGTTCCGATAGTAAAGACAAACCTTCGAACAAGACAAACTACACAGACATTGTAAGACATGAACAACAAATATCAAATCAAGTGAATGGATCCAGGGTCTCGCCGTAAGGGTCCACTGCGCTGTTTTCAATCGATGTGGTTGTCAATTAAGCTGAATTCATATCAAAAAATCAATCTGGATATCGCAACGATTTTATGAGAGAAAATCATTCTTTATATTAAAATAATTACCGTAAACAGACGTTTTATTTTTAAATTTTATCAAATAAAACACTTAATTAATTTTCAGAGAGCTAGTTTATAAAATCACTACAACGAAAGAACAAGTTGCCGTAAAAGAATTCATTACAATTTCGTTGCCTCAATTCAGACGAACATTAATTAAAAAATTAATGGAACGTAGTCCCCCATCCTGCCGTTACCGATGCGATACCAGTTATAAATCGAAGCAAAGATCGACAGCCACTTGTTTTCATGTAGTATCCATTAACAGGGATGGGTTATGAAGAACACAATTAACTTAATTGATAGAAGTTGACATTTTCTGACTTCCTGCTACACTTTTGTCTGATATTGATTAACAATCAATCCATTTTGATCCTTAATTAAACTCATTGCCTACCGGATGCCACGGTGAGCTCAGTGACTAAGAAACTGGCTGAACACAGGGGTCATTCACATGATAAAATTCGATAAAATGTATTACTACGCGACATTTCGGCAAGGCTTCTCCGGTCTTTACCAATTACCTGGAGTGGGGGAGGGGGTGGGTATCGATATTGCTAAGACAATCAAAACTGAAGTATCCACTAAAATTTAAATTTTATCTTTAGTTAAGATTGCAAGAAACAGGGCCAAGGTGTGTGTTTCAATAAGCCGAAGGTTGAATTTCATTGTTGATGACATACAAATAAAAGTACACGAAGAGTACCTAGAACAAAGTTTTCAGGTATAAATTGTTTCTGCCACTGCAAAGAGATCCTACTACCTATGAAATAGTCATTCACAGTGAGTCGCCCAGGAAATTTTGAGGGGTGTTTTTGTCAAATCAACCGTGTTTTATTGACCAAAGAACCCTTAAGTATGTCACAATTTAATTTAGCTGTTGTTTCTTACATTGCCGATCCTCTTTCCCGCTACATATGCCAAAGTTGACATAGGTAAAGACAACTGCCTAGTAGTTTGGGTTTGTGAATTGCAGGCTGGGCATTTTACTCATTCCCGTGAATGTCCAGTAAGGCAGACAGATAAAATAATTCTAAAGAATATTTCTGAGCGGAAAATACAATTATTTTGATGTTCGAAAGCAGGTGGATCTAACTGCAGGGGAATATTTCGCAAGTGTAAGCATCTCAAGGACATTGGATCAAAGTAAGTATATACCATTGCCAGACGTTACATCATTTCATCCGCCAACCGGGTATATATGGTATATAGACGTTTTTAGCGAGACACGTTGTTGTTTTTTTAAGTTGGGTGGGGTGGATGGCCGAATGGTTAGCACGTGCGCGCTGTATCACGAGGTCTGTCATTGAGTCAACTGGCGTGGTTTCGAATCCCCGGTTGTACGTGAAAAGGAGTAGGGTTGCCTGTCCAACCTCGTGGGTTTTCTCCGGGTCTTCCGGTTTCCTCCCACTGCTAAAGACCCCTACACGCAAGCGAATTATCGAAATAAAATTACACCATATGTTAGTCCCGAAATGACTTGGTTTGTATCGAGTCTCTCTATATATTAGTCTGTGTCGAGTGGACGCTAAACCCCATTTCTCTCTCTGAAAGTTTTATTTGTATATATAATTTGATTTTCCGTTTTTTTTATATATATATTAATGTGATATTGAAGACGGGCAAATGGAATAAACGTGTATTTAAAAAAAACAAAAAAACAAATGATTGATTATTGACAATTATTCTGATGAGCAAAGCATGTTATTTAGTTCCACGATAACAATTGATTTAACTCTAAGGTTTGTTAAACAGGGAAAAATATACAAATCATCGATTTAAACGGTCTTTAGGTTAAATTATCCCGCGTGGAACACGTGCAATGGATTGGCATGTCCATGACCTAGTCATCTTGTATATTGATAATAATATAAATAAATTGATACAATTACAAGGGGTGGATGGCCGAATGGTTAGCACGTGCGCGCTGTATCCTAAGATCTGCCATTGAGTCAATTGGTGTGGTGTCGATTCCAAGGTTGTACGTGACCAGGAGTAGGGTCGACTGTCCAACCCCAACGCGCAAGCGAATTATTTAAATAATATTGAACAATATGTTAGTCCCGAAATGACCTACTTTGTGTCGAGTGCACGTTAAACCCAATTTCTCGATACAATTCAATACAACCTATATAACTCAGATCTGCTCCGGGCATACGCCATACAGTGTTCTATGAGGGAAATTTTGCCCGGACAGCGTCACTACGGTCTACTCTTATATCGAATTCCAACTGCCAAGGGATCTTTTACGTGCACGCCAATGTGTACACGGGACCTCGGTTTGTCGTTGGAATTCGATATAAGAGTAAGCCGTAGTGCCGCTGTCCGGGCAAAATTTCCCCTCATAGCACACTGTATGGCGTATGCCCGTCTTCATTAGCCCAGGTTAGGAGCAGAACAGTAGGACGTTAAATTTCATTTCGTTTCATTTCTGTATTTACTATATAATTATAGCATCGGTGTAACTCGGTGTATTCGGTTTTTAAAACCAAAGCAACACTGTCTGGTTATTATCAAGCTTAATTATTGTTTGGAGTAGCGCTATTTAACGTATCTTTGATTTCAATAGCAAAATGAATTCATGTGTTGATTGATTATCGGACGAAAGGAACCTATACAATATTCCAACAGATATAGATTTCCGATAGGCTCACATTAAAACATATTGATCAAAAAATTTTATTAAAATCATTATATACGTTATGGCCATTTAAGGTACATTTCAAGTCGCGATCTTGAATGTCTTTATTTTGGATTCAAATGTTATAAAAACTGTTATTTAGACTATGCACATGACAAGCCCATAATCAGCTCTTGCCCACTGTATCATAAGGCATGTCATTGAGTCAACTGGCGTGGTTTCGATTCCCCAGTTGTACGTGATATGGAGTAGTAGGGTCGCCTGTTTAACCTCGTGGGTTTTCTCCGCCCGCCCCCTGCTAAAAGACCCCTACGCGCAAGCGAATTATTTAAATAAAAGTAAACCATATGTTAGTCCCGAAATGACCTAGTTTGTGTCGAGTGGACGTTAAACCCCATTTCTCTCTTATTATTTATTATTGAAATAAAATTAAACCATATGTTAGTCTCAAAATTAAACCATATGTTAGTCTCGAAATTAAACCATATGTTAGTCTCGAAATTAAACCATATGTTAGTCTCAAAATGATCCATTTCAATCAATATTGATGTGGTTATCTTGCCGTGAAAATATGGAATCCGAATATCCAATATTTAAGACATAACGGGCATCTTATAATCAGTACGTGAGTCATGTATTCTGTGGTTTCGGGCGCCATTTGTAATGAACACAGAAAAGCACATCCTTCAAGACAATGCGGAAGTAATTAGTAATGTATGATTCACAAACTACGAATTATTAAACGTGAACAATGAACTAAGAAGGAGGAAATGACTGTTCACGTATTTCTTCGAAGCATATTGTTTAGAAATTACAATATTAAAAAAGAAATAGATATAAATCACTTTTTATACATTCATGTTACATTAAAGATACATTATGGGAGATTTGATAAAGGGCTGGCAGTTCTCACTATAATAGTAAACAAGCGGTTGCCATGCAAGATACGCCCACATTTTGCAAGAGATGGCCAGAGAACGAGCTAAAAAAAATAATGTGATTTTTTGTATAATCAGGGGCCATAATCCAGGAAGGTATGGTCTGATATGCGCGAGATCTTTGGGTTATGAACATATATTTCAAGTTTCACCAAAATCGGATAAACAGTGTGACATCTAGAGAGTCCACAACCTTTGTATTACATACTTTTACACAATTTGCGTACAAAGAGCGGCCATTTTTGTTGGGCCGTTTCATTTCAATTTTTCCGAAATTTAAATTCAACCTTCATTATGATGGAATGGTGATATATTTAAACGGTTTTTAAAATCGGAAAAAAGATTCCGATCTCTCTGGAATCCACAAGCTAAAAATGAAAATGTGGGCGTATAAAAACTAGATAATGTAAAGGTAGTTTTCTGAAAATTTCAGTCAAATTGATCCATTATGAACAGAGAATTAAGCGTTAACAGAACACAGTTTTTATGGGATACAATCACTAGTTTTATTCTAAATGCACGACGTTTCGACAAGTATCCTCTTATCGTTATCAAGCACAATGACATTTAGTAAACTTGAGGTCAATATATACATAATTCATAGTGAAACGGGGTGTTCTCACTTTCCCAGCAGCTATTGTTTTCCAGGTACAATCATTGGACCAGTACTAATTAGGGTAACAATGTCGTTAACACTAGTCTTTTTCATATCAATATTAACCACTTTACATAAAAGTTATTTTATTAACAAATTTAGCATGTACATATATATTTTTTTTTCATATCAATATTAACTACTTTACATACAAGTTATTTTATTAACAAATTAAGTATTGTACATGTATATTTAAAATCCGACTAAATGTGCTATCGAATTTCCGTATTCATATAAAGTCCTCTTGGTAAACTGCTGGAATTGGCTTAGAATCTGCTTTAACCGATTCTTCCATTGCTGATAAAAACATGTCAACTTTTAATTTGGTTGGATCAGCTTGATGATTATGGATGTTTCTGTAGGTAGTAACCAGGTCATTCCCGGTATTGCAAGTAGCAGGGCTTTTACGGACAGTACACCGCCAGTGAATGGTGGCTCCTTTATAATTATCATAAAGTAGGCTTCGAGTACCTCTCGAGTTTGGAATGGACCTAACGTTTACCTGTGCATTAGCCATTTTGGAATGAGATACACTTTGAACTTTCAACTATTTAATAAACTTTTATCACAAACAGTGTTCATCGTAATTAAGTATAAAATTAAACTGCATATGAACGAAAAATCAGACAGTGATTTATAGTTCACACATGTCATTGGTTCAAATTGAACTGTTCATGCAATAATTAAAACAGAGTATAACTCACTAATCTATAACTAATCCGCTTAATAAATAGGGTTAATCTGCTGGGAAAGTGAGAACAAACCAGTGAAACCATCAACATGGATTAAAATAACAATAACAAAAATAATATAAGAGGTAAAGGATATTTAACAAAAACAACAAGCACAACAAGGTAATTAGCTGGCTGAATAAACTCTAATACACGAGTAGGGGGTTATTAACTAGTATGAGG